ACGATCATGCCAGGAATACCCAACTCGGTAACACCCACACAAGTCCAAGTTGGCTGATGGTCAGGCATCCACTTGCGAAACTGCTCAACCATGAGGTCAAAAGAGCCTGAGAGGGAGATGTGATAGCTTCTGACGGAGTGAACGTCTGTCCAACCCCTTGCGCCAGCGTCTTTGAGGTTCTTCTCAACGTTCTTGAACGCAAGGTCAATTTGACCCTTGAGATCTTCTTTGTCGATGTTGCCTTCGCTATCCCATCCGCCTTGGCCGGAGCATTTGATGGTGTTGCCGATGCGGACAGCTTGTGAGTAGGAGTATTCTTTGTTGTTGGTCTTTCCGACACCTTCGTAGTTGTAGTAGGTGAGATGGGACATGACGAAAGTCTATTTGTATAAGGTACCGAGATCAGACTGATAGGGAAGTTGGAGGCTTACGTAGAGCTGGGGATTTGTGACTGAGGGGTATAGATCTTTGAACAATCGCTGTGCTCGATGCTCGTATCAGAGGCATAGTTGCCCTTATGTACTGCACGACATGATACGCAATCACCACCACCCAAGACCTTGGCGCATGGCCATGATAATCACAGAACCTATCATGAAGATTTCACCTCGGCCACCTCGTCATGCTACAACGACCGAGTGGTCACCCAACATTCCTATTCCAGTTTGACTCCCTCGCTCTTGAGAGCTGTATCTTACTGGCCCCGCAGAAGTGCCCAGAAACATCCCAGATGCAGTATAAGATAAGACCTGCCTGGGGATTGCAAGAGGCCCAAGAAGTTACCCAAAGGAGAATAGCCCAGTTCCCCCGCATCGCGGGGTTGTAGATATCGTTTAGTGTTCGTCCTCATTCTGGCCTGAATACTTTCCTGACTTGAACTGGGACATGATGAGAGACTGCATGAGGAAAGGTTTGGGGCCAATTGAAGCGCTATCAGTTGAATGTGCAGCGGAATTGTCATGATTGAGGGAACCCCGCAAACAGTGGATGGACGCGATGGTGTCTTAGTTGGTGGTAGTTTATTGGGTGTATGAGTCCCGAGGACAGCCGCTGTCATTTGATGCGTCGCACTCATTATAAAAGATGATACCCCATCCTTCGTCATTGTAATACCTTATTCTACATTCAGACTCCTCTCGTCCAGTCTTGCCCGCCTTGCGTCTCTTGCCTATCTCACAATGGCATCAACTACGTCAATCACATTGCCCAACGGCAAGAAGTACGACCAACCCACTGGTCTCTTCATCAACAACGAGTATGTCGCTGCTTCAGGCGACGAGTTCACAGTGACAAATCCAGTGTAAGCTCCCAGCAGCCCTCGACTCTCCAATTGAACGGGAACTCACACGTCCCAGCACCGAGGAAGAGGTCATCAAGCTCAAGGGAGCTTCAAAAGAAGACGTCGACAAGGCCGTTCAAGCTGCGCGCAAAGCCTTTGAAGGTGAATGGTCAGAGCTCGCTGCTGTAGACCGCGGCGCGTTCCTCTACAAGCTTGCTGATCTCATTGATCGCGACCGCGAGCTCATCGCCGCTATTGACGCCTTTGACAATGGCAAGGTACGTAACCTTGCTCCTCGGTCCAATTGCGTCGCTGACACTGTCGCTAGCCTTTCAGCGCTTGTCTCGCTGGCGATCTCGACGAGTCGTACAATGTCTTCCGATACTACGCTGGCGCCGCCGACAAGATCAGCGGCAAGACAATTGAGACATCTCCCGCCAAGCTCGCATATGTACTCCAAGAGCCTCTTGGCGTCTGCGGACAGATCATCCCGTGGAACTTCCCCTTCATGATGCTCGCTTGGAAGGTCGCGCCAGCGCTGGCATGCGGTAACACAGTCATCCTTAAGCCCGCCGAGCAGACACCTCTGTCTGCTTTATACTTCGGTAACCTTGTCAAGGAGGCTGGCCTCCCTGCTGGCGTTGTCAATGTGCTGCCTGGTCTTGGTCCCCAGACTGGAAAGGCTATTGCTGGACACATGGACATTGACAAGGTTGCGTTCACAGGCAGCACCAATACTGGCAGGGCCATAATGAAGGATGCCGCGAACAACCTCAAGAACATCACGCTTGAGTGTGGTGGCAAGAGTCCTTCAATTGTCTTTGCGGATGCAGAGCTGGAGCAGGCTGTTAAGTGGTGCCACTTTGGAATCATGGACAACAAGGGAGAGGTGAGCTTCATAGCCCAGTAAGCAGCGGCATAGATACTGACAGTATGTCTCAGGTTTGCACATCCACCTCGAGAATCTACGTGCACGAGGACATCTACGACAAGTTCCTTGAGAAGTTCGTCGCTGTCACAAAGGAGAATGACAAGCTCGGCTCCCCCTTTGAAGAAGCAACAGTCCAAGGTCCTCAAGTCTCCAAGACCCAATTAGATCGAGTTATCTCCTATATTGAGGAGGGGCGCAAGTCTGGTGCTAGACTCTTATATGGTGGTAGCAAGCACGGCGACAAGGGCTACTATCTCCAGCCAACAGTCTTTGCAGACGTAGGTTTCCGCTCCAACAATACCAAAAGATGTTCTGACTCAAGTAACAGACTACCGAGGACATGAAGATCATGAAGGAAGAGATCTTTGGTCCCGTTGTCTCCATCGCCAAGTTCTCGACAGACGAAGAAGCTATCGCCAAGGCTAACGATACATCCTACGGTCTTGCAGCTGCTCTATTCACCGAGAAGATCTCGCGGGCACACAAGGTCGCTCGCAAACTTCAGGCTGGCATGGTCTGGATCAACTCATCTGGCGATTCACACTTTGGTATCCCCTTTGGTGGATACAAGTCTTCTGGAATTGGTCGGGAATTGGGACAGTATGCGCTAGATGCCTACACTCAATCCAAGGCTATCCATGTGAACCTGGGATTTGAGCTGTAGGGGAATCTGTGTAGAGAATTTGATATGAGATAGCCATAATGATACCATTTGTTACACGAATGATTGCTAACTAGACCCTGCTGACTACTTGGTGAGTGACTATTCTCCAGCTCGGTTATCTTCCGATGGATCCCCAACATATTTAGTTGGTATCTGAGAGAATGCGACCTTGGACTCCTTATCAGCGCCCTTATCTTAATCAGCCAGCCCCAAAAACAGGCAAGTCAGTAACTCGGAGAGTCTCAATCGCGCCGATGACCGGAGTCGGCATTATACTACCTTGTAACTAACAGCGCGAGACGAGCCAACACTCGGGTTCTGTTTCCTCTTTATCGCATCCGAGCCCCATGACCAGATTTCGGACCGCCTTATCGGACGCGCGATCTCCGCTTTATCAGGAAAGCACGTAATCTAATTCGTTGGAGGCTTGTCCATGGAGAATGACTACAAGCAAAAGGGCGTCCAAAAGATACCTGATAACATCGGCATTCGTGTCTCGTTGCCCGAAATGCTAGATATAAATGATAGTATTCAGGCTTATCTGAGTTATACTCTAGATATGATAAGCCCAGTAACACATCTGAATTTAACGTACTGCTCCTTACCGCGCGAATAGTCCCCCTTCTACACCAACAATATACCACAGTCACAATGACAGTCACAGACCCAGTCAGTCCAGATGCTATCAGGGCCATGTTTGCCTCTTCCCTTTCGAGCATGTATCGACGTGAAGTTCCCCAATACGGCACACTCCTCAAGCTTGTATCCGATATCAATCACCAAAAACATCAACCCATCGAACCTCGTATCGAGGTTGAACGCCATGGAGCTATCAGACTTGGAACACCAGAAGAATTAGCCATGATGCGGCGATTATTCGCTGTAATGGGAATGCATCCTGTTGGCTACTACGACCTCACTGTCGCCAATCTTCCAGTTCACGCAACGTGCTTTCGACCTCTCACGCAGGAAGCACTGGCATACAACCCTTTTCGTGTATTCACATCTTTATTGCGGCTTGAACTCATCGAGGACGAGACACTTCGGACACAGGCTGCCGATATTTTGCGAAAACGCAACATCTTTACAGATCGATGTGTGGAATTGATCAAAATATTCGAATCACAAAAGTCTTTCTCCGAGGACGTATCAAAAGAATTCATAAAAGAAGCCCTCGAAACATTTCGATGGCACAAAACATCAACAGTTGACATGAAAACATACAAAGCTCTTCGAGAAGCACATCCCTTGATCGCAGACGTCGTCTGTTTCAAAGGACCTCACATAAATCATCTCACGCCACGGGTTCTCGACATTGAAACAGCACAAGTTGAAATGCTTCGATATGGCCTCCAAGCCAAAGACGCCATAGAAGGACCTCCACCAAGGCTTTGCCCTATCCTCCTTCGCCAAACAAGTTTCTTAGCCCTTGATGAAGCGATTGCCTTTTCAGAAGGAGAAGAAACTGGAGGAAGCCACAAGGCGAGATTTGGAGAGATTGAGCAGCGTGGAATGGCATTGACGCCCAAGGGAAGACGTCTATACGATGATCTTATCAACGAGTGGCGAGGGTCTGTGGCCGAGCTCACGTCTGATGCTAAGTCTGGCTCGAAGGAGCAAATTCTTGCAAAGGTTTTCCAGAAGTTTCCCGATGACTTGGAAACCATTCGAAAAGAGAATCTTGCATACTTCACATACAGTCCTGTTTCTCAGCTACCAAAAGACCTCGATGCGAGCATCGACAGTCTTGTCAGCTCCGGGGCCATTAAGGCTGAGCCGATTACATATGAGGATTTCTTGCCTGTCAGTGCAGCTGGAATCTTTCATTCAAATCTAGGAGAAGATGGCGGGGTGAGCCATGTCGCAGAAGCGGATCAAGAGTCTTTCGAGAAGAGTCTTGGATGTCAGGTTAAGAGGGAATTTGAGTTGTACAGTGAAATGCAGGAAGTGTCGATTCAAGGATGTTTGGAGAGGTAATGGGTTATGAATGATGATTCTGATTAATTTAGCGACTTATAGAAGGTAATAATGATATGAATATGACTGTTCGATCTCAAAGAATAGCTCTCGTAATATATTGATGTAGTTATCCAATGGTACAAATCATTCGATTAGGCTGATCGTGGTTAGATCTTCGCTGATGACCCCCTCGCGTTCGAACTCTTAGCATCGACCTCGATTTCCAGCCTCATACCCGGCAGTGCCAACTTCGCAACGCCCAACACAACACCTCCAGGTCGGTTGTTAGGAATTCGCTTCTTAAGAGCCTCAGCTAGAGGAGATAGTGTGGCGTCAATATCGGTATGATAGCTGCGTATGTAGTAGACGTCTTCCCACCCACGAAGACCAGCTGCTTTGAGAACATCATCGACGTTTTGAATTGTCTGTTCAGTTTCCTTAGTGACGTCGGTGGATATTTCTCCTTTAGAATCCCAGCCGCCTTGGCCTGAGATTTTGAAGTGGCCGTTGCCGAGATCTACGGCTTGGGAGTAATGGACGGCGTCGGAGAGGGTTTGGGTGAAGCCGGGAGGAGTGGTGTATTTTACTGAGGGCATATTGTAGGTATAACAGCAGAGATATATTGAGGACTGTGAAATTTGAATTGATGTAACCGCGAATCCCTCGTGTATTGTCGGAAGAAGGTAGTGTGAAACTTACCCCGTCGTTCAAATGAGGCCGTCGTAAGTTTATATACGCCCAGATCAGATAACGTTGAAATAAATACAGCCCCTTTCAATTAATAATTCAGGACGCTGTTATTACAGCTCTTACACAGTAATTGTACGCTTGAGGACTTGTTGTTGGTCTTGGCCCTCGGCCGGCTTGGATAACCGTGCATGCCGTGTCAGTGGCTTCAGCTTAAAAAGCTAAAAAGCAGTACCTATCGACAGAAACAGTAATTATGAGAGAGAAATTACGATGTTTATTTTTAGTGTCTGACCAAGCTCATGCCGGAAACCGGTGAAGAGGTGCTTAAGACTTCGTAGCTCAAGTTAGGATGAAGCTGTTTGCCAGTACAGTCAAGTCTAGGCTTTTCTGGATAGTACCATCAACTATGTCCTCGAATGGTGTGAAAGAACACATGGAAAGTTGGTCTCTCTCATAAACAGAAATGTGTACTGGCCAAGTGCTACAAATGACTTGTAGTGATGGTGGTGGTGAAATTTCACTCAGCCATGCTTTGTGTGTTGAAATTCAGATCTCGAGGTTGAGGTTGGGATGGAGCAACTGACTCAACTAGTCTATTTGCGTATCTGTGCTACTTAATCTACATAACTAGCTCGAGAAGGATACTAGCGACCAAAGCAGTAAACACCGTCAAGAGCCCGCCTTTGCTACCGGCGAATGCTTGTGCACCATTACTATCCTTTCCACCTCCGTTGCTTTGACCAGAGCCCTCTCCAGTGCTAGATGGCACTAAGGCACCTTCTGTCCCAGTACCTGTTGCATCCATACCTGAATCGGTCGTTTTGCTGGGTATCGCGGTCAAGCTCGTGGTAGGTTTCACAACAGCCTCAGCAAGACTGCTGCGGGCCCTTTTGACATCCAAACCACAAGGCTTCGGTTTCGGTGAGGCGTCTTCGGCAAGAATGGGACAGCCAACCGTATAGTTGCGTTCAACCTTCACCGCAGTTCCCCCAATAGCGCAGCCATCGTACTCTGCGATAGCCTTGCGTGCAGTCTTTGCGCCAGGGCGAAGAGTAAAAGTTACATTGCCAGATCTTTCGAACTGATTGTTCTTCAAGAGAAGACTGCCGTCTTTGCGTGGCTCGCAGACAGTGGTCCACCGCAAATCCCACTTGAGGATACAAGAATCTTCTTCGCCACGCCAGTACTGAAACTGGTCACCCTCGTCAGCATCAGCGATGGCTTTGCTCGTGTTGAGAAAGTAATAAGGCTCCAAGTCAGGTAAAAAGTCCAAGTATAGTCGGCCGATGCCGAATAAAGTATATGCACAGTTAAGTTCCCAGTTGAGTGTGCCACTGAAGGTGGTCAACACTGGGGCGTTTTGGAGGCCGAAGATGACGGGAAATGGGGCTTCGGCGGCGTATGTATCTTCCCTAGGAAACACGATGTCGACTTCGCCGATGGCGGGGAACGAAACAACATCTTCGTCGGAGGCAGCTGCCAGGACTGCGAGGCCTGGACTGATGAATGTCGACGAAAAGGCACGCATCTCAACGTCGCCGGATCAATAGAGCAAATAAGCTTGAATGAATGAACATCCACTTCCAATATTCACTGGGAGATAAAGAGGTACTTAAGCTTCTTGTGGGATCGCGAGCGATAAAACGACCTAGTCAGCCCTTCTCGAGCATGGATCCATCCCTGTTCATTGCATTCAAACCAGCACGATTAGTGATCAGCTGAAAACCATGAAACAAGTCGGGCGTCTCGATTTTAATTGCGAAGGGCAATCTTCGTCAATCATCCATGAATTTATATTCGTCACATGCACTTAGTCAGGAAAATGTGGCCATTTAATTGAGTTGCGAAAAATAGAAGGTACTCCTTCCTGGATCGTGAATCTCGGTGTATGACTAATAACCTTATCTTCAACCTTATATCGAGTGTAAGTCGAGCTAATGAATTGCTGGACCGATACATCAATGACCATGGGTTCCTTGACTTGAATTTCCGAAGGAATTTGCTGTAGTGATGAGGCATGCTGATTGCTGAAGATGGATGAAACCAGAATACTCGGAGTCTTGCAAAAACTGCAGAGCTAGGTTGTTAGACCAGAGTTTGATCGTGAGAAATGTCTAACAACCACTGGCAACGTGGCGGAGTGGTTAACGCGATTGACTCGAAGCGGTTTAAAAGACCCTGGTAATCAATTTCCTTCGGGAGCGCATGTTCGAATCATGCCGTTGTCGTTTCTTTTTTATTTCTTCTAGTATTTAAGTTCCTGAGAGCACACCACCACCACTGTAGGCCTGTTTGAGCGTAGAGATTAAACGCGATTATCTGAAATGGCCTAAGTATTTCTCTTTTTACTTAACCATGATAGTGTCTGGCCGGTAGGGTCGGTGTCCTTCATCCGGCATCTTACATCCGGCAGGTCGCACAACAAACACCGATGTTCTCGGTAGGCTGATGTCGGAAGAAGTCAAAAGACGCGAAAAGCGAGAATCACGTGTGAATGCAAGAAAGACTTGTGCTTTGATAGCTCAGATCTTGTTTCTCAGATTGTCATTGAATGCGTAATCAACTCGTCTAAAAGTACTCTGAGATTGACGTTTATTGTCACTGGTTAGTCACCATGAGCATACAACGACTTGGCCTTGGTGCCATGAGAGGTAAACCACATTAACTTGGAAGTGTAATTTCTATAGCTTTGCTGAAGCTTCTCAATAGGCATTGGACGACCGGGAGTCTTCTTCAACCAGAGCGTCCCCAAATTGGCTTCAGCCCGTCTGTTGTCCCAACAAACAAGGTGAGTTCCCAATTTCAACTTCCTCCTGGGTTCTCTCTAACTCCCATCAGATCTTCTTACAAAGAACGCCCAGCGATTGTTCACACGAGCCAGAAAGAAGGCCACGACATTCTCATCAAACAACGCCTCAACCGCCCCGTCACTCCAAACCTCACAATCTACCAGGTCGGACAAGTCTGGTTCAGTGCATCAGCATGGACTCGAATAACAGGCCTTTCTGTAGGTGGTACAGCTTACCTGACTTTGTGCGCCCATGCTGTAGCTCCTTATCTTGGAATGAGATTTGACTCTGCTGCTTTGGTGTCGGCTTTTGGAGCGTTGCCTTTTGCTACCAAGGCCGCAATTAAGTTTGGACTGCTAGGGTTTCCGTTCGCATATCATTTTATCAATGGCATTCGACACTTGGTGTTTGATCTGGGATTTGGATACAAGAAGGCTCAGTTTAAGAAGTCAGAAGCAGCTACGTGGATACTGAGTATTCTTGGTGGTCTTGTCTTGGCCTTCTGGATCTAGATGTTTAGCTATTTCACGATCGAGGATCAATTCAACGTCCATTAACTATTGCTAAATAGCATTGTAGAGCCATTCCTATTCTCATCATCCATTCATCTGGTGGCAAGTGGCGTGGAGCTTGATCAACAAAAACGTTTTCTTTCTATGAGCTATAAACAGTGATGCAAAATTCTATATAGACAATGAACTTAGTTCCAGACCAAGCAGGCACTTCTCCAACAAATCGCAAATCGCTTGCCCAGACTCATCACAACATCTGCTAACTTCCCAGCGTCGTCGGGAAACCCGGGTATATCGGTAACACGGTATTCTAGCAGTATCCACACCCGTGGATACAGCCGGTCGCATCCCGGATTTAATTCACCGTAGGATTCTCTACTCGTCAATCTTGGCCGGAGGTGTACCTCCAGGAGCAGCACCAGAAGGAGCAGATCCGCCCATACCGCCACCAGAGTTCTCGTTGGCAACGCCTCCCTCCTTGTAGTAGTAGGCAGCAGGAGACACGGAGCTGGACTGGGTGGAGTTGATGCCGAAAGCGAGCCAAGCGAAAAGACCGTCGCTGATGCTGTCGCCGAGAAGAGTGTACTCCATAAAGGGGTCAACACCATCGGTCTGTGTCTCTTCGCTCAGAATACCATCATCTTCGTTGAGGGTGAGTTCCTGGGTGTTGGAAGCATAAGGCTCGAGGGTTTCGACTTGGGAGATGAGATCTTGGTCGAAGAAGGCTTGTCCAACGTGGCTGGCGTAGTTGTCTCGGCCGAGGGTCTGGTTGGCAAGGAGAGTCGCGTTGGCATGAACCATGACGTGGATATGAGTAGCACGGCTGGTGTAGTGGCCAGGGAAGATAGACTCGAACTGAGCAACACCATCAGAGTCGGTCTTCTGAATGCCTCGAAGCCAAGTCTGGTCAATGTTGGTCTCATCAGAGCTATCGCCATTGCCGTTGGCAACGATACCAGAGTACACGCCAGTGGAGTTGCAGTGCCACATCTCCAGGTAGACATCGGGGACAGGGTCGCAGGTTTCGACGTCAATGACCTGGTAGTCGAGGATGATGTTAAGACCCTCTTGATCTTCAATGATGTTCTCACGAACGTATTCGCCGGCCACATCTGGATTGTTTTAGCTAATGTCCCTGAAACAAAAAGGAAACGGAATTTACTTACAGTAAGGACCCTGAGTAACCTCGGGAGTCAAAACACAAGAGTTGATGCTGGCAAACAGGACCGAAGGGGCAGTGCAAGGGCTGAAGCCTTGAGAAGTCTTGTTGTGAGAAGTGTTCAGGGCGGTATCAGCATCGCGCTTCTTCAAGCTTCGCTTCTGGCGAGCCTTGTTAACCTGGGCCGAACGACGAGCGATGTTGCGAGCCTCAATACCACGAGCTCGAAGCTTGGGGGCACAGTGGGCGAGGGAGGATCGCTTGACAGAATTGAGAAACTCGCGACGTTCGGCGGCCTCGTGAGCAATATCATGTCCTGGATGGGCCGAGGCGATGCTAGCCGCGATGGCGAAGCTGGTGAGGAGGCTCTTGAAAGAAGGCATATTGATGATTTCAATGATAGTTTGTATTCGGTTAGAGAACGATCTGGAAGAGACTGATGCGAGTGATGGGGATATCGAGATTGTGATTGAATTGCGGAAACTCATTCTTTATATCTATCGTGAAGCTCCAATTCCACCGCCTCTCGATCTCAACAGCAACCCACATACCGAGTGGCACTGAGGCTGCATATTCGCATTGTCGAGAGGCGCATGGACACGCTGTGACGCGTTAATGTTACGGATAACAACCAAACGGTCAATTTCTCCGAATAAAGCTGCCAAGCTAAGAATGAAGCATAGACGGCACCTAAAAAGCACTGCCGAGGTCTAGTTTAGGGCCAGCCTATAGCGGAGAATGTAAAACGAGTCAGGCAAAAGAGGTGACGACGATTGGCTCGCGAACGCGCAGCTCATGCGAGACACGCGTGTTGTGGGGGGCTCGTCGGGAGGTGGGAGCCCACATCGCGAGAGATCTTCACGATGTCATCTCAAAAGTCGAGATGGGGAAATGCGTGTGCGTATGTCGTATTTGAAATTGGGGTTTCTCATTGGTTGGGGGGTTTGAAGGGTGTTTTCAAGCTTATACTCAAGCTGACGTAGTGGTTTTCTAGACTGATGGTGCACGTTTCAAGACTATTACGAGCAGATAATCGGTGCCTGTACTCCGTAGTCCAGGACAGGTTTCAGCAGCTTCATAGATCCTGTCGTCCTTTCATCATGGTAGTTGAGAGTAGAGTTAGGGCATTTCTGTAGCTTTCTAGGTCGTCTCCCGGCCTATTACCAGATGAACCAAGAAGACATAGCCATCATGCTCTCGCATTATAGGATGTTGTTTTACTTACTCAGATACTTTTGCCGTTTCGTTGAGTTACGGGACTGTCATTGACAAGCCAGAGGTGCCTGTTGAAGTAGGTATCTTGTTGATGAAGCCCCCGATGCGCTGTTTGGAATAATTTACGTACCTCTATGGCGTTTTTGTAGTGTAATTCGCGATACAGGGATTCTTTCAGTAGCCGTTAACTTCGTTTGGGTACAGTTTCCCAGACTTTTGGCCTGATTTTGCCAACTTTGGGTATAAAAGCGACCTAAATAAATGGGCGAAACACCCGAATATGAAGCGCACGATAGACGGATGTCATAGCCACTTTATGTTGAATTAAAGCCATTTGCGAAAGAGCAACTTATCGACGATACATTAGAATGTAGTAGCTATCCATTGGTAAAAAATAATACTTGTAGGATTTACGATCAATACCCCCGACCAGTGAATCCATGAAGTCCTCGAGAATTGATCCTTCTTCAGGGTAGCTTTGAAGTGAAGCCGGAGTTGTTGCGCGACATATTGCTGTTCATTTATATTCCTGTGATAAACAATCCCCCCACTTGCTGATCTCGATTACAATGATGCGACATAAGGATGGCCAAGAACTTTAAGATGGCAGATAGGGCTGTCACAAACCCAATTCACTTAACTTTACTGGAGCCCTGTGCATCCAGGACATTTTGACTTTTCAATACTTCTCATGCTTGTCAGCTTTCAATCGTCTAGACTCTAGAAAAGTCCCTTGGTGCAACATCCCGCTAGAATAAGGCCAAAGCCAAATCCTATCCATGGGCTGCTGCACTGGAACTTTCCAGATGCGGCCTCTTGGATGGGTTTCCACAGACAATTCTTGCATCCTGCACCGCTTCAGTTCTAGTCCAAAGTTGCGAATGAGCCGCATTCTAGTCTGCCATTCATTACCCGCTTGTTGGGCCTTATCCGAGCTGTTGGCTCGTCTAGCCATGGTCCGGCCGAGAACGTGTTGTGGCGCTTGAGTTGACCCAGCGTGCCGGTCCGCCATCACATTGGTACATAAGTAAGATTAGGGCGGTGTCTTTATGCATTTTATGCTGCAAGTCCCGGCGTGTTTTTGCGGGATTAACTAATCGTCGATTGGGTGTTGAGATGCAGGGGTAGCGATACGAAGGGGAACGCCATCCTTGGAGTATCACCATCGCCAACAACCTTGCTACTGACCAACTGCCTGAGCCTCGCTGTATTATTGGATGTCCCACTGGCCAGCGGGAGCATTCCAGAAGAACAATTCTCGTCGCACAGTCTTGACTTTGCGTTCACAATCCGCAAATGGGATCTGTGGTCTCCGAGTACAGAGTAGGTAACTTACCTTATCGCAAGCCACCAATTGTGTTGCCGGTTACGCGGGGAACGACCAAAAAACGCCGAACTATGGAATGGTGGCTTCTTGGCCCCTTGGGGTACAGTACGGAGCAAGGAGTACGGAGTACAGTAGCATTTGTTGATCGGACCCCGGACATTATCGCTTGTGCTAATTTGCGACGAGGCAAGGGAGGCTGTCAGCTGTGCATGATCCCCTCTCCCACGAGGCTCGGACCCTTCTGAGACACTTCGGTTAGAGAAGATGGCAAATTAAAACTGCGTTCGCGGACGGGACTAGAGAGTTCTCAGTCAAGCGGGTGAAACTATGTATTAATGGTGGAATCAATACCCGCACCATCTGCAGCGGATCTACAGCCGAGTCCCCAGAAATCAGATCTAGTTAGTGGTACGAAGCCTGAAGGCGAGGCCAAACTTGATGGTGCCTGATAAACTTTGGGGCTACGAGACTAGCGCATCTGCAGACCTCAGATCACCTTGGGCCTAGAACTAGTCAAAGCCAATATGTGATTACACATGCGAGAGACATGGCTTGCTCAGATTCCTCTTAAAGCCGCGTCTCCATCCCCATCCCCATCCCGCGCTCGCTCTGCCGCTGTTTCTGCGACTCTCCATCTTATTCTGCGTTCCACGTGTTTTCCCTTTCGAATATCTACGTACGCAAAAAAAGAACAATGGCCGTCAACGAAGTCGACAAGTATCTGTGGCTGGCATACTGCAAGGCTGTGCAGAATGCTGTCGGTGGTCTGCCTGGACATAAGCCTGCTTTGTTCTTCACAAAGCATGCGCAAAAGGCACCAGTCGCGTCACAAGATATCGACCCGGCCTATACGAACTACGGAATCAACAACATCATCAACAATTTCTTACAAACTAATGATCTCTTCTATGATCCGGCTCATCACAAAACCTATACTCAGTGTTTGCTCGAGTAAGCACCTCGTCACCATACAGTGCGCATGAACTGACCAAGATTAGATATCTGATGACTGTCAAGATTGTACGTGAATTGCATGTGCAACAAATTGCTTCTTCTAATAAGTCATAGGGTGAGGGTGATCAAGTCCGGGTAACGATGATAGGCCGAACCCTGGCAAGTGCACTTGACCAGGCCTTGCGCGAGAGGGATCGTGCCCTGGAGACCTTTGAAAAAGAAGAAGGCTACGGCCTCACGGGCGAGCAAGACTTTTCTCAATGGTGGCCATCGCATGCTCCCGCATACTCGGCAGCCAAGCAAAAGGTTGAGGCCGCAGCCGCAGACTATCAGGCCACCCTCCTCAGCATAGGTGGACCAACTGCCAGTTCGCTAGCCAGAGATTTCAATCGAATCGTCAAGGCCCTGATCGGCGGGCAGTCAGTCCCAGGGTGAGATATCATCTTCCGAAGCATTTTGGCCGATTTCTGAATCCTAACCTTGATAGCATCACGATGCCTGCTTGTCACGCCTCAGCTGACATCACCCGTGAACTTCTTGAGAGAGACAGAACACCGCACGCCATCACATATGTCCCTGAATGGATGTCTCTTCAGTACACTGCCCAAGTTGAACACTGGATGAACGGCGTTGGCGATGGTGACTCTTCTACTCAGATTAACGTTGCTGATGGTAGAGAGGTCAACGAATCCGACTTTGGCCATGCATCCACAGACGCATTCTCCTATGGACCGTGGTTGTCTTTCTCTACCGGCAAAGGAAGTACCAACGAGAAGGGTGTGTCTTTCGGTTCTATGGACACCGATACTAACCTCGACGTGCAATTCTCGTATGATGAAATTCAAACCATTTGTGTTCCGGCTGGTGATTGGTAAGTTGTACTTGTCCAACAAGATTCGCATATGCTCATATCATCCTAGGAACGTTCCTAGCCCGGGACGACGCTATCAGTTGTCAGACACCGCCTCTGAAGAGTCCCGCAACCTTGCCTTCCCAGACTATCTCGTCGTCGTGAGGAACCTCGGCTTCAAGGTCTACATCCGAGATTACAAGGTTGCGGGACAGATCGACAACTTGTTTGAGGAAGCCAAGTCTTCTGGTGGTTCTGTCAGAGTTTTCGGTATTCCTGCTACGCCGGATGGCAGCCCGGATAAGGCTACTGAGGAGAATGCCCATATTGCTGAGTGGGATCTCGGCGCTGGCATGCTTTCAATCAGGCCGACTACTGATGCCGGGTTTGCTTCTGTTGTGGCTCTTGTTGGTGAGCTGAACATCAGTTGACTCGTGTCGGGGCGAGTGTAGTCTTGGTTGCTGTTGTCTGGATTGTTTTACAATCATTAAGTCACTCAGCAATGAAATGCATTTGTCCTGGATATCCATAGAACTTGATCAGTATCACTAGCAAGATATTAAGTCTTCTTTCAGAGAGCAAGTATATAACAAGCCCTAAGATATATATATACTTCCTTAAAGTTTATTATAGTTAATAATTAATAAATGTCTTAAATCCTAAGTATCTTAGCCTATACAAGGCCCCCACTCGCAAAAGGCATTGGGATTCACAACAGCAGAGATGCAAGGATTATATTTATAGAAAGACAAAAAGAACATCGACAACGGCAGGATTCGAACCTGCGCTCCCGAAGGAAACAGCTTAACGGTGATTCGAGGCTGTCGCGATAACCACTCCGCCACGTTGCCTAGACCGGATTGATGTTATTCCCGTCGCAAAGAGCTGCCATTACAGCGCGAGGTCGCACAGGACATACTTGAATTGACAGGAGGATTATAATTTGTTGAACAAAGTCATTCATACGAAAATGAAAGTGGTTTGCCGGCCATTCAAAGACGGTGTTTGCGTATAGTAGCATCCAGATCTACCAACTTGAGAACATGTGACAGACCTAGTCTGTTGCGCAGAAGAACAGAACACCCAGGAATCCGTCAATGAAGAGACCAAGAAACATGAAAACCTCGATCAAAAGGAGGACAGGAACCAGAGCTCTTTCAAGACATCTATCAAGGCCTTTCTAAAAAGGAAACAGGATCAGAGAAAACTTCGAAAGGTTAAGAATGAGCGGGATAAACTTGTGGCAGCCATCCGTGCTTATGAGAAAGCTCTTGACACTATGGACGTCATTGAGGCAATCACGTATCTAGAGTCGGTTTATCGTGAGGTCGGTCTTCTCACATGAAGGAATTTCTGTGCTATCGGAGTTGATTCCCATACGAGATTTCGGCGTGGCGTATCATGTATCCTGGACGAAAACCATCATAAAAGACTTATGTAGCAGCTTATTTAGATTATAGTTCTCTGTACCAAGATATGCAAATGATAGCATTGACTGTTATGGATGAATGTGAATTTTGTCAATCTTATCTTGTTTCACACTGATATCAAGGGATTTCGCATGAAAAACAGACTTAATGTCCTACCTATCTTTAGCAACTCACCCCGAAGCTACCTAGTACCATGCCGCGAACTACACTTCAGCGTGGAATCATGCACACTGGCGCAGTGGTCCAGCCGGTTCTGGTAATCCAAAACGGCGGACCATATACAAACAAATAAGTAACTACACTCTCATCCTGCCAGTGATTCGACCCAGTCAGCCAGCTCATCGAGCCATGGTAGGCCGCCAGCTGTGTTCCGTGAAATAAAATCAATCATCTGCTAAACGCTTGGACTCAAGGAAAAAGAAAAAAGAACAACACCAAACGCCCCCCATTCGGGTTTCCGCATTTTACCGTTGGTGATTGTGGCAGGGGTTTGTATCTTAGGTATCGTTTGATGTATTAAGTTGGAACCTGGTTGTAAACCTCGCCAATCAGAAGAGCCAGTAACCGACAATTTAGCCAGCCTGGAGATGACTTTACCGCCATGCTGCCCATTCGCCGTCAAGAGTGACGTCTGGTGACCTACCGTAGCCTGGGGGCTTGGGTATTGTCGTTAGCTCATGCGTAGAAGAAAGCGATAGACTACCATTTTCACCACCGCCTTTAGGACCTGTCACTTGGCTGCCTGCACGGTAATCACGGTGGCAATTAGCCACCTAGTAACCTCCATGAGGAACCCAGGGCAAGAATAGATGTTTTTTCAACCACAACAAGGTCTCAAATACTTCATGACGAACATGATAAGCGTAGGAAAAAGAGATAGCAGCTGCCATCATTTGTTAAACCTTTGGCCGAAATCACCGCATCCTTTCACGTAGAGTTTGTCACGCATTGCAGAGAGGTGATATCCATCCTGATAACGTGGCAGTGGCTTCTGCGATAGACATGGGATAGTTTCACCGGTTTTATCCGGAGAGTTTCCAAATGGGGCCATGATACTAATTGCTGTGTTTATTTCTTTGTCTTATGGCTACGCCGGCTGAGCTTCAAGCCAAAGCTAAAGAGACGAAACAGCGCCTAGAGCTATATTGTAATCAACAGTCAGCTACGAACTTCCGATCATTGAACAGTTAAAAAGAATTAAATCTCCCTCTTACACCTCTACTATAACGCCTGACTGGACCTTCTTCATCAGTCTCTTCTCTTCAATCTTGATCAGATCACATACCGCTTGCCCTACGCAGCCGGCAGAGTATTCATTCTATACACAAAACGACAAAACATCAACCGTTTCATTCTACACACAACAGTTCTACCAACATGTCTGGCCTTGAGATTATTCCCGTAATCACCGGCGCGGTGAAAATGGGCAAGGAGATAGCGGACATTGGGCTCTCCGTTCGTGGCATGCATCGGGACGCTCAGGCATGCACAAGATTGGCCAATCAAATCAAGCATGACATTGAATATGCTCAAATTCTCCTCAACACCTCGAGAGATCTGATCTGCGACCACGAAGGCATGCTCAGCTGGATTACCGGGACAATCTCCGAAACCAACGACACACTCGCCAGGTACAACGGCTATATCCCGGAAGAAAACGACAAGGGTGCAGCTCTGAAAGCCTTGATGGAAAACGAGCGGAAATGGGAAGAATGGGGCAAGGCTCTCGGAGCACACCATTCTTCCCTCATGGCGGCAGTCAACGTCATGCACCAGCTCAAGTTGACGCTGAAACCGAAGCCGAAGCCGAACTGGGCAAGCAGCATGCCTCCCGATTTCTAGGGGCCTACGACAGACGAGCTGCCTCAAGCGGACACTTACAGTTGAGGAGTAGGGGGTTACGCGCCTCTGATTTCCGGTTTGGCCATCAAATGTCCCGTGCGTGCTCGAAGAAGGATGCCATTTGATTCTCTGTTTTCATTACTATGTTAGTTTCTTTCGTCTTCCAAGGATCATCCCGACCGTATCCGAGGCACTACAGTTCTTCGTGCCCTCGCCCCGGAGACGGAAATTTCCAGCTGAAATTCAGGCATGGGGGAGTGTGGGTTCTGGTACTGGTCCATAGCATGTTTCAATCACTTACTAATATATTTTGACATGGAATGCCGAACGTACCAGGATGTGAGTGACTGTGATACGTGAGCCTGTGACTGGGCCGTGCTGCAAGTCGTTTCTTTTCCCACAGCCTTGGCATTGCTTGGGCAACATGTCTTCAGCAAATGATAGGAGTCAACAGAGACTGCAGCACAGCCACGTCTACTCCGTACCTATTGGTAAAATGGACTGGCCCAGGCCACTCACTAAGCGAGCGGCTGTGATTTGGCGATCTGAGTCTAGTCTAGGACTGCAAGCTGCTTGCTAATGGCTGCTCCTCGTCATCTTGCTTCTCGTCCAAGTTTAGGAATGCAATTATTGCACGTCAACATGCTGGATGCAATTCTTGTATTCTATGCAAACTAGAAGAACGCGAATTGACTGATTTATTGGCCGTTAAAGATAAACTAAATACAAATTGTTGCATCAGACAGAAAGGGAACCACAAGACTCCCAGAAAATAAACGTCGAGCCTAGATAATCAGGAGCTTGACACACAAGCAGCTACTAGCTTAGGGAGGTAGACTACTCTTTAATCTTTTCTACCTCAATGGGAGCCCATGGGGTCCCAGGGTACAGGGCACCCGGCCTGGTCCATTTGACCTGGCCATTCCACATGAATCGGATCCTTGGGGTAACAAGGCGGCCTTGGTCTGAGACCCAGTCAGCCTCCCACTCTGAGGGTTGCCCAAAGAAAATGAGCGCTGAGTTTGCTGCGCGGCCAAGTTGGGTGCTGAGCCTTTCTTTGATCACATCGCCTGGACGGCCGCCGGCATCAAGGAGCTCCATTTTCAGCGCATCAGCGATTTCGGAGGCCATGGAATCGACCCTCCTCTGCCGTGGGTCACTCCCGTCATCGGGGAATTCTGTCGCGGGTATGTATATCAATTTGTAAAGAGGCCTGAGCAACAGGAGGGTAGCCTCTCTCCAGACCGAAACGAAGTCCTCGGCTGGGGTCATGTTAGCAGAGCCCGCTGCAAAGCTGGCATAGAAAGTGAACTTACTCAGGGCTACGTAACGATTAGGGATGAGCTGAAAACAGCTTGAGACCTCAGGAGGCAACAGGCATTCTTGAACGTCGCGGGTGGGCTGCCCTGTATCTGAGAGGCTATAATCACCACACGGAACTTTGTTGTAAGTGGGATGCATTCGTTTGTAGATGAGTCGGATGAGGAATGTCCAGATGGCGTAGTATCGGGTATCTCGGTCACATATCAACTCAGACCACGTCTGACCTTCCGGGGGATTGCCCGCAAGACGGGTGAGTTCTTGATCATCGAACATGGACCTCTCGACGGCGGGCATAATGGTAGGCTTGATGGCAGGATTTTGGCCGCCGTAAACAAGCTTCAGAGCGAGAAACTTGATGAAAACCTCGAAACTGAGATTCTCATGTATTCCCTTGGGTCCCACGATAGTATGGAGACGCTCGTGCAACTTTCTGTGCTGCCAAGTGATAGGGTTCGGGACAAACATGGGCACTGGGTCGTGCTGAGGAGTGGGAGCATTCGTGGCTGAAGCTGTTTGCTTGGTAGAGACCTCAGAGACATCGCAATTGGGCCTGATTCTCAGAAAGGCGAAGAAAGAAGCTCCACGTGCAGTCCTTCTCAAAGCCAGGAAGATGATTGCGAGGAAGAGGGAAATCGTGCAGGCCCCAGCAGCCCAGCCGATGAAGAAAGATGCTGCAAATGAGAGAGCCATCTCCACGGCGATGATAAGAGTGACAGCAGAGTGTAAATACAACAGATGAGAAAGAAAAAGTGTCGTTGTAGTGGTTGGGGCAAAGGGTTGAAATACCCAAGTAAAGATTGCAGGATGAGTTGATGTGAGTGAGGGAGTGAGTTGGTGGGGACTGGCAATCAGGACACAAGGTCGATTGGTTGAAGTGCAAACCTCCCGTCCACTGTCTGAATGACAAAGGTAGGTACCTATCTCATCAATAATGCTCCACTAGCGCAAGACTAGCCATGGATCTGTTGGTACCTAAGCAAACTTGTTTTGAATAAAGAAAATGTGTCGCAGTGGAGCAGTGTGGCTGGCTTGGCTTGACCTGGCTTGACTTGACCTGACTTGACTTGACTTGAGCCTGGATGGATCATCATCATCATCAGCCCTCCCTCACGGACTCACTCCAACATATTCAAATCAGCTGCCTTCCCTGAGTGAGCTAGCCTAGAGTGCAAATCCGGAACTTACATGGCCAAATTGCAAATTGCAAATTGCAAGTGGCTGGTTGGTACGTACCACACATCATTCAGCCAACAAGTGATGATCAGATGCACAATCCCGCCAGCACCCTTGGCTCTGTTGCCGTTGTGGCACTCCAAGCAAATTGTTGTACGGTAACCCTGGTGACAAATCATTTGTGACACCTTGGAGTCGGGAGCGGAAACGGGACAACACGGCAGAGGGAACACAACACCCGTTGAGGAGTCTGTCTCCTCACCCGGCGGCGGTAAGCTGGTAAACAGGTCAGATGAAGGCGCACAAGGAACCAATTTCTTCGACAGTAGCCAAGGTCTTTCTCTACATTCTCAGCTCAACTTTTGTTGATTCACTTATCATGCCAAACAATCAACATACCTTCTCAACCATGGCAGCAGACTTGGTGGTTGGCATCGACATTGGGATGACCGGTATGTATAGAACTTGGTCTATTATTTCCCAAATCTGCGACATTGCTTCGAGAAGATGGGCTGATGATATCTCTTTACAGGCACTGGGGTTGCCTATCAATCGAAAAGCGATGCAGAACCAATAGCTTTCACATGGGGCAGAGACGTAAAAGTTCCCACTAGGCTCTTTTACAGTGACCGTCATCAGCCGCCAAAGCTCGTTGGATGGGGACTAGAAGTACCCGATGATTCCCAGAAGCCGTTCGCGACTCGAGAGTTGTTCAAGGTAGACTTTGGCAACAGAGACAGAAACCACATACATGTCGAAAACCTCTACACCGATTTCCTTCGTTGTTTATACCAGGAATTGAGACTCAGACAGTTTACACCACAGATTTTAGGAGGGAAGTCCTTCGAAGATTGCACCATTCACTTTTTATTCAGTGTTCCCGCAACATGGGACCCAGCTCTGGTGAGCAACTTCAAACAACTTATTTCTAACGCCGGATTTGACGACGCCAAAGACCACACTGTCTATGTGTCCATGACTGAGCCACAAGCGGTTGCTGCCTTCCAGATGTGCGGATCGCAGTTGTCCAAACAAGCCAAGGTTCGTGGTCTCATGGCCCTCACAAGACAGCTCTGATGTTCAACCCACAGGACGGCGACAAAGTCTTAATCGTCGACGCTGGTGGCGGTACCAGTGTAAGTGCATTCTCATTTCCCGATTGCATTTATTGAGCTAACTGAACCTAGGACTTTTGCTTGCTGGAGGTCCAAGACACATTCCATGGGACATCTAAGGTCCATAAGTCATCTCAGGCCATCGAGATACAGCCAGTATCTGGTATGTAACTTTATCCTTTGAAAGCGTCGACTAATTTCTGAAGCTTGCGGATTTGGTTCCGCCAACATTGATGAGGGTTTCCAAAACTTGGTGAAAGAACACGTCAAAAGTTACAGAGCCCATCTTCATAAATCACCCGAACAAGTTGCTTGGCATGTGCGAGATACCGACGAATATCGAGATTGCAAGCATAGCCTTGGCACCAAGAGTTTTGAAGACTTCGCGTTTGAAATCCCTTTCCAAAAGACTGATGCAGGCATATCAGCAAGCCTTGCCCGGCTCGATCCTTTTATCCTCACGGAGTAAGCACCCTATCCACAAACTCCTGGTCCGAATGGTTCTAATTCCTTTTTAGGACTTCCATGGCGTCTCTGTTCGATACACAGATTGATCGGATCAAGGAAGTAACAAGATCATTTCTCACAGACCTCGAGAAAAGAGAAGAGGCTGCGGACACCGGCCGTGTATGTTCTAACCCTGATGTCGGTCTAAGCGCCGTGGCTGATGCAAGCAGAATATTGTCATACTAGCTGGCGGTTTGGGAAGTTCTCCCTACTTCAAGGGCAAGATTCAGCAGCTGGTCGCCGCATCCCTGGCCAAATTGGGAGGGAAGACCGAGGTATTCGCCTCGGATAGCCCGCGCCTCGCAGTGTGCCTGGGCTTGATCTATCATGCTGGGCGTAGCCCACAGCTTTTCCCCCGCCGGCTGCACCGAGTCAGCTTGGGCATAGCGTCACAACGGTTGAAGAACGCGATAAAGCAGAGTCGCCTGGAACTTTTCGTCAAGAAATCTCTTTTCCATCTTTCGATGGGTGGAAAGGCGGAGAAAGCAGTTGACTGGATTGCCCTCAAGGTAATGGTTCAATGCGCGAGATTGAGGTGTCATTTTACCGCCCTTGCTGATGATGATGATGATGATTATGACAGGGGACACCCGTCGGCGACCTGGGCTTTTTCACGGTTACCCAGAAAGCTAAGTTTAGCGCAGACCTCCCACCGGAGAAGCGGATTTGGGAAGTCGCTATTCTCACTAGCTTCGAGAGTGACACACAGCAGTTGATGGTCGAGGGTAAGACCTTGTTCCCGCAGTGACGCACAACAGACATTGATTACATACAGACAACTGCCGTGTCCGTTCGATCCTAAATATCGATCTTTCGCGAGCGCCTCAATTATCGGGGTCGACGGGGGCTCGGGAAGCGCTTTCGAGACTCCGTCTGGCCTCAAAGCGCGACGTCGTGATCGAAGTTACCGTCGTGGTGCAGGTCGGGCTGGCCACCATCGAGTTCCAGTGGAGTATGAAGACATCTCAATCCCTATTTCTGAGTAACGGACATCCACACTGACACATAATTAGTTGATTCGAAAGGGTTTCGCTGCAGTGATCCCATCAGTATCCCGACAGGCGATGAGCGCCTTCCATCCACCGACGCCGTGTATGAATTGAGCTGAGCTAGGTAAGATTGAAGGCGTTTCAATCTAGCTCGGCTAATGACGGCTAACCTGGCCAACAGAGGTCGCCTTTAAGAATGTGATGAGTCGACAGTCGACACACATCGCTGGATTCCATTTATGATAAATGTCACGGCCGATTTTGTCATGCATCGCTTGTTCTTCACCGGAGATACCTTGGTGCCAAGTATGTAGCTGGACAGAAAATAGAACAATGGATTTGCTGCCTTTGTATTCTGGGCCACGCGAGCCTCTTTAATGTCAAGTCCTTCGCCGAGGCACATTTGATATCACTATGGTAGGTACTTCTCACAGAGGAGAAGATAGTATGTAAGACTATATCCCAGTTAGTATTGGCCATTCTGCTATTGAGGTCACTCACAAGATCATGCCAAGCCACCCCAGCATATTCAGACTCGCTCTTCCCATAGTGCTCAAATCCAAGTCTCTGGTAGTACGGAACAAGACGGTCATACGTCAAGATAGATATGCGATCCGCAGCATTGAGTGACTTCGTTCTCTGGATATAGACGCGCATAATGGCCTTGCCCAGACCGGCCCTCTGGTAATCGGGCGCGACAGCAAGAGCATGGAGAGCAATCGTTCGTCCATTCTTGTTGTGACCCACGGCGTAGTCACCTTGTAGATCTTCCTTCCAGTTACGGGGGTAGTCCATATCTTCATCTTTGACGGGTTTGTTGGCAGTTTTGGTAGAGATAACATGTGCGAGAAGCACGTCGTCGTCGTTGTCGGATGTCGGATCCTCCGCGAATGGGATGTCATGAGGAATGGGGGACGGCAAGCTGGCGCCAGCACGAAGAAATAGGCCAATGCATATCTCGGGACAGACTGTTAAGCGATACTCAATCTAGATCGAGGTTAGATTCAAACCTCGGGTCTGTTATGGATCTCACCACCTTTTCACGAGTGGCGGCCTCGGCGGAAGGAAACGCGGCAGTTTCAACGGCCAGTGACCGCTCTAGGTCATTGATGTTGAGTTGTCGAGCATAGAGGGACATTCTCAAGATAGATTCAAGTAGTGGTGTATGATTGGCTCAACGTCGATAGGGATTGACTTTACTATAAATATCTAGGTATCCAAGGATGAATCATGAGAAACCTTGATGACAACGACAACGACAATGGCGACAAGGCGGGGTTAGGTGGGGCTACAGAGTTAAACCATGGAAGGGCGCGCATTCCATGAAAATGACAGTCTAAACTACTAAGGTACCTAGTATAAACTACTAAGGTACCTAGTCTAAACTAAGGTACCTTAGACTGACTTGGCTTTGTCTCCATTCAATCCTGATCATGAGGGGCTGCCTCTACTGTAGCTATCTCCAGACAAACGCCTTAGTTATGCCATGCATAAAAATGCATCGAATAGTTGAGGAGGACATCAACACGATACAGCTCAATCTCATTATGCAATCCAATTCACAACTAAACTAGGTAGATTTAGTGCATATATCGCCAGGTTACAGCCTTGTCTCCTTTGGCGGAAAGTTCCTCCTCAGAGATGGTCTCATGTTCACCAGCTGCCATTCTCCTGTCACGACTCTTGTTGATGCGGCTATAGCTGAAGATCAAGATAAGAGCCGCTATAATACCCCCGCCAATGAAACCCAGTTCCAGGGCGTGACCCAAAATGTAGCGAGGCCTATCCTTTTGTCGGTAAAAGTTTGACGCCATGGCCTAAGTTTGTTAACGAGAAGAGCCATGCTGCCGGGAAAGGATTGTACTTACACCGCCGAGATTTCCAACTCCAATCTGAATCGCCATTCCAACACTGCGTTTGTAACTTCCTGATAGATTATTGGCCAGCCAAGTAATAACTCCTGGGAACGCCGGATAGATGGCACACGCTGCGATGAAGACACCGGCGTAGACAACCTTGGGGTTGTGGGTAGAGATACACCTAGATAGGTAGGTTAGCTTGAACTGAAGCAACTTGACTTTATGGGCGACTTGCATCGTAAAGCCAACAACCATGACGCAGAGGAATGACACGATAAATGGACTTCTCTTTCCAACTCGGTCTGATGTCCAAGCGACAATAACAGCTAGGATAGCTGCAGTGATGTAAATAGGAACAGTCATAAGCTGGGCCTTGCTAGAACTGTAGCCAAGGTTTCGAATGATGGTGGGCAAGAAAAGACTGATACCATAGAGCGGACAAACAATCTGTCATGGTTAGCAGTACTCATGCCAAAGCAGCTCATACCCTGACTTACACCCCAGTAAACAAAGATGTTGACCCAAATCTGCCAGTCCTTAAACGCCGCCCAAACATACTCCCACTTGAACTCGTCGGCCTGTGCAACACGAGACTGACTCTGTCCCGCAGCCTTCTGCTGACCCTGATACTTGAGTCTGAACACGACGAAAGCGCGCTCTTCTTCAGTCAAGAAGCTTGCAGTCTCAGGGAAGTCGTAAAGTGCCCAGAAGGCAAAGATGGCAACGAGAACAGTAACGATTCCCTCGAGGATGAAGATCCAGCGCCATCCTTCAAGGCCACCAACACCATCCATCTTTGCGATACCAAAGGCCAGTAGACCGCTGAATGCACCGGCGATGGAAGCTGCAGAGAAGAAGAGGGCCTGTCGGAATTGGATTTCGTGACGACAATACCACATTGTGAGGTAGTACTTAAAACAGGTTAGTTTCCCAGCAAATATTTGAGAAGAGGCGCAGACGTACAGCGACACCAGGGAAGAGACCGGCCTCAGTGACACCAAGAAAAATGCGCGCAATGAGAAGACCGTGGTAGTTTTGAACAATGCCCACGAGTGTCATCACTATACCCCATGCTATCATTATGGTAGGAAGCCAGACACTTGGGCGGAGCTTCTTGAGGAGGAGATTCGACGGGACTTCGAAGGCGGCGTACGTAAAGAAGAAGACGGTGAGACACCAGTTGTATTGGTCCGGGCTCATCTTGAGATCTTCCTGGAGACCCTCGATCTTTGCATTTCCGATGTTTCCTCCTGTGGTTGCATGCTTAGTTGGGCGTCATAGTGAGGGCTGTGGTAAACTTACGGTCGAGAAAAGAGAGGAGGTAAAGAAGTGCGAGCATGGGGATCAATCGCATGTCCATCTGAGAGTCTTTCTTTAGTGATCAACTAGTAAGTATTGGTGACTGGCACAAACCTTGCGAAGAATCTTCTTCTCATCAAGATGAGAAAATGACTCGAGGGTTGTACCAGGTGCCGTAGCCATAGCGTCGATACGATCGACCTGCCCTCTACCAGCAGCCTCGGCCTCAAAGACCTCAGCCTTCTCATTTGGGGGAGTAGAATAAGAAGCCATGATGATGACGAAGAATGTCTGTGTCTCTGATTTGGAAATGGCCAGAAAAGATGGGACGATCAGCGAACTTAAGTATGTCGCGTCACCCTTGCCTTCCCCATGATTTCCCCGCAATGTCTAATGTTGCTGATCTTGAGCGAAGGGATCGTAAGAGGCTTGCGAGGAACGCACGCAGCGGTAGATGGAGACAGGGGGAGGGGGCGGAATAGTGCTAACGGTAGAGGGCGGGAAACGCTTATCTGCAATAAGGAACTGAGAGACAGGTCATGGTTGGCACCGGATCCGATGGTTCTGTAGAATGAGCGAGTCATTCTTGGTCGTGCATGGTTCGATTGTGGGATACGAATCTCAGATCAATCTGTGACAACAGTGAGATGCTATCCTATTGCTCTTCATCTTGTACAAGCCTCTATTGTTATTGGCGATTTCTCGTTGTTTCAACTTCCAGCTCTGCTCTTCACTCCAAGATGGGTTTCTGCAATGCAAAAGCTTGTACGTCATAGCAAAGAGTGTCATGGCCTCGGTTCCGAAGATCCCTGTCAACACAACGGCTCCCTCTGCTCTGCAGCGATCAGCGTTACCTAACAGAATGTGGCGGCGCCCGTCACAAACAAGCCAGACGAAGGAACAAGAGTTTCTCCAAAATTAAACTTTCAACTGTATTTCACCTTCTCCGCCTTTTACCAATCGAGCTCCGAAGAAATCATGTCCAAAGTGGTAAGAAACAAGACCATTGACCCCGTCAAAACGGTCTAACCTTGAATGTCAACCCCATACTAAAGCTGAACTGAACTGAACTGAACTGAACTGGGGGATCTGCATTACCCCGCATCATCTGATGAAAGGCTTCCCTGTTCTCTCTTCGAAATAAAGTGGACTCTCTTCGTTCCCAACAAACATCATCCGGATCCGAGATTCACTCCTGAATCGCGAATTGCTACGACTGCAACCCTTACCTGTAGACTATAGTGGATCCGAGATGCCAGCGGGTCTCGTTACACGTCGTACTCAGTTCTCCAGCTGCGACGAATGTCGTAGGTCGCGTGTGGCTTGTGATGCCCAGAGCAGCGAAGGCGCTTCTTCGTGTACACGCTGTCGGAACCGTCACCACGCGTGTACCTTCAAGGTATGTAACTATGGTTCCAGACTCGCCAATAGATGATTAAGGCCTTGCACAGTGGCTTCAGAATGCTAAGACGAGCAACGGAGGCGCAAAGCGTAGGTCTCGTCGAGGGACAGCCCGACCTACAAGTGGCACATCATCAACACGCGGCAGTCGAGTCACGGATACTTCCCATGAGTCGGGATTCGATCCAGGTCCTGTAAATGACCTAGACCATGATATCTACAGAGAGAGCCCAACCGTAACGGCAATGCCCGAGTCAGCATCTTTGCCATGGTGTCCAAGTCCGATAACAAATTCAGAAGAGGACTCTAGATGGCTTGATACTCTGTACAGAGAAGGCTTCGAGGAGGTCTTTGGCTCTTGGATGGGAAGATATGCTTGCCCTTTCCTGTACGTATTAGCCAAGAGTATCTACCGCTTATACTTACATGAGCAGGTTCGGTCACAACCTAGCAGACAAATACGTCAGCATATCTGATCTTTGTCGTCATCTCGACGGGTGTATAGTAGATACTGGAGACAGCCAGCTAGTCGGTCGAAGCAGAGACATTGAGCAGTCTCTCCAGAGCACCGTTTCAGCATTTGCAGCAAGATGGCTCCCTGTTACATCCCCAGAGCCAAACTCCGACGAGGATCACTGCAGTCTTGCCCAGACTCTCTGGAGGCATGCTAGAAGAGACATGTTACGTGTCATCAATAGACCGGCCTATCGGTCAATGCTATCTCTGCTTCTCTTCGCTCTCACGCCGATACCAGAAGGCATCTCAGAGGACGAAGAGGCAGATGGGATTTCCGGTCAGGCTTGTGTTCATGCAGCCTTGCAGCAGATACAAACATTACGTGCACGTCAGAGAAACCTACAATTCAGCGGTTCCAAAGTGTCTCCGTCTCTCAAGTCCCAGGCTATTGTAACAACACCAGAGTCGATCGAGACCTCAGGCTTCATAAACGCCGAAAGTACGGTATACTGGGCTGCTTTGACATTCGACACCTCCGCATCTCTCACCCTCAACTGTCGCTCTCTTCTATCTTCAGGTCTCTTCGGCTTCGAGTCCGAACTCCCATGGCGTCTCGTCAAAACTTGTGCCAAGATGTTCGACGAGAACGCCCGCCAGTGGAAGCAAGGTAGTTCAGACATGACAGATGAAAGGGCGAATCAAATCATTGCTGCCGGGGCCTCTTGGAAGCTCCTTGGATGGAAAGTCACTGCCATTTTCAAAGAAGCTCTGAGAGATGGCCATGAGGAGGCAGAAGTTCGGAGAGCTTACCTGGCTGTAGTCGACTCTGTGAAACAATTTGGCATCATTTATCGCCCGCTTCTGGATGAGTGCCATAAACGAATGCCTTTTCTTGGGCAGCAGACAAAGCTTCGATGGTGTAAGTTTGAGTGTTACTACAAACGAAACCTCTGCTGACTACCTCTGCAGTTTCTCTCATGCTTCACTACCATCTCAGCATCCTGATGCTAGTAGACATCATCGAAGCCACGGACCGTCAAGACCTGCTATCAGACATAACCGACATATGTATCGATGCTGAGAACACGGTGATGAACACTCTAGCATTCGGCTTGCACAACACATTCACATTAAAACGACCTCTTGATACAACTGAGGGTGATGGTTTGAGTAGGAGGCAAACGGTATTCACAGTACCGATCGTGTCTATTGATCCATATCCGCACCATGCCGTCGCTGGGGTGCAGTTACTGAGGAAAGCTATTGATCGTGATTTTGGTATTGGAAAAATCACCGAAGAAACTTACCAGAGTTTATTGTCCACATTGGAGAGGACGTTGAGGCATCTGCCGCAGAGCTCAAAGTCTGTGCGGGCAGCGATAGCAAAGTTCTCAACGACGGCGAATGATAGTGCACATCCTAGTATTTTAGTCTAAATACAAAGCATTCCTATCGGCTGACTTAAAATGCAAGCCCTGTATCCAAGTGATTCAAATACTATGTCCGATTGCAGAAGGGGGTTGGGTTGAAGTATGGACTTGGCGCTGTAAGTTTCCGCGATGCGGAATAAGTACTGCAATCAAATTACCCCAACTCAACCGAACTCAGCCACTGACCTCAGAGTTCATTCTCGGTTGCAATTATCCTGATTTTGTCTCGGATCCGATGACGCTGGGGAGGTCGATATGGAGTGGGGATATTCGCCACTCACCAAGTTAGTGTCTGGGGTATCATGGACCGGATCCGAAATGATGACGATCAGTCGCTGAGCAAGATCTGCTGTAACATCTATTTCCATGCTTCTATTTCAGCTTCTTCTCCTCAATCGGATAGATTCAAGTTTCCAAATATTCATTCTCCTAATATTGTCAACATGGTTCTGACATCAACTCCAAGGACGTCGGTCACTTTGATCGGAGCGGGTACGCAAGGAAGACGACTTGCGTTCATGGTATGTGTCGCCTCAATAACTATCTTGTACTTCATGAATTCTTTGCTAACGCCCTTGTCTTAGTGGTCGAGTAGAGGAAACGATGTCCATCTGGTCGACGGCCAGGAAGCCCAGCTTCAAGCCAGCATCAAGGCCATTGAGGAGTTTCGACAAAGTTCAAGCAACAGAAATGCTTCTTGGGGTAGAATCATCACGCATTCTCCCGAAAGCTTGCGCGAGGCTCTTCAGGCTGCTTGGCTAGTGGTCGAGGTTAGCAACTCTGATATCACAAATGGCCAAATGCTGACTGAAAAGTGTGTACCTGAGCAAATCGAGCTCAAGACGAAGGTCATCTCAGAGCTTGATGCACTTGCTCCGCGAGATACTATCATTGCGTCAAACTCGAGTAGTTATTCCTGTTCGGAGATATTGAAGGGTCTTAACCTGAGAAATGAGACGCGTTTTCTGAGCGCTCATTCTTGTGAGTGTTCGACAGCTAGCAAAATACTCATACTGACTCCAATGATGCAGATTGGCCACCTGAGACACCCGGTAAGAGTCATGCGTAAGACGAACTACAAAATGCGTTGCTAACAAAGACTAGAAATCGAGATCATGGGCCATGAAACAACCAATCCTTCATACATCACACTGATGATGGAGCAATGCAAAGCCCACGGATTCTCACCGTTTCATGTGAAGTCACCCTCAATGGGATACATCTACAACAGGTAAGCTCTTGTAAAATTCGCTTTCTACGATGTCTAATCCAATTCCATCAGGATATGGGCAGCCATCAAGAGAGAAGCCCTCCTAGCAGCCTCAGAAGGCGCTGCAACACCAGAAGAGATCGACAATATTTTCAAAGGAGTATTGAAAACACCCAAAGGGCCCTTTGAGCAGATGGATGTCGTTGGTTTAGATGTTGTTCTGGATATCGAGCAGCATTATGCGGATGCGAGAGGAAACATCCCGAGTGCGCCGCGAGAATATCTTCAGAAGTTTTTGGAGGAAGGTAATCTAGGCGTTAAGAGCGGGCGAGGATTTTATGATTATGGTAAATCTTAGATGGGTTAGAAGTACAATAGTTTTCGATATTTCGGAGTAACAAAGTTGTCTAAATCCATGCAAGGGTGCATAACGCCGAGCCGGCCACTTTACCCGAGAACAAGAGAAACTAGGAAGCATTCCTCCGAGCAAACAAATCCAAAAGCCCGAACTTGGCAATGCATAAGATGGCATGTATAGGGCCAAGTTGTAAAAGCCACGGCGGCTTGGTAGCATTTGCTGAATGCAGGGGAACGCCACAGGGGTAGCGAATACCACCCTCAAGGTTTTCGCGGGGAAAGGGTTGCTTTAGCCCGAGGTCTCTTTCGGGATGGTAAATGGCATGATGCACCACAAATGCTGGGATATGACAGAATGTGCCAAGAACCAGTTGTCACTTTTCTTGACGATATGTTGTGTAGGGTTACATCCAGAACTGCTTGAGGAAGATGTCCCGGCAAGCGAGCTTATCAGGGGGAACGGAGTGAACCCGTGGGTCTGGAACTTGAACGAGCTTCGCTTGAACGCTTACCCGGTGCCAAGAGACGGTTGCACGATCATACCACCATACCCTGTTGCTAAGTGCCTCTCCAAAGTTAGCCGTATGAGACCCAAGACCCCGTCTTTGGTAGTATTGATGTTACGGAAGATGCGGGTGGAGATCTCAGGGAAACGATGATGAACTACTGGGGTCCTGACGTAACCCAAAAGACGATCACAGATACAACTCAATCGACAGCATTAAAGTCTATTTGTCTAATAATAAAAACGCTTAGCGGATGAAGACAAATACGCGCTATGTACAAGATATCATTCTGCTATTTTCTACAGGTAGACGTAGCAGAATGGTCCGGAAAGTGTGCTCATAAGATCTTTGATCTGTCGCTCAGGTCCAACCCAACCAATATTGACATAGTCATCAAGTGTAGTCTCAGCACTGGGAGGCATGTTGAGGAAAGTATTTGTGCCCTGTACGGCATTCTTGCCGCTAACACGCTCCTTGGGGTTAAGCATCTGCCAGATCCACCAGACACGGTCAATCATGGAGTGGTGCAGGTAGAAAGCAGGATCACCGGGAGAAGTGAAGACATCTCGACCGGGATCACCGCCGAGAGAGTAGTGACCACCCCCGTGGATACCAATGTCGCCAGTGCCGGGAACACCCTGCATCTGCATCTGGAAGTCCAAAACAGTCTTGGGCTTGAGAATGTTGTTAAGAACAGATGTAGCGTTAGCGAAACGCTTGTTGACGGCGTCGCTGAGATCACGCTTCAAGCAGCGAGGGTTGTAGTCCAGAGGGTTGGGGTTGGCAGCGACACCTCCGCCGGGAAGGTCAAGAGCGGCAGGGCCCAGGTTGACCTTCATGTCCTTGAAAGGACCGGACTTGACGCAGCCGCCGCCAGAGCCAGCGGGAAGGTAGACGGGGGGGAGACCACTTGAGGCACCGAGGATAATATCGGGCTCGTTAGGGATGAATTCACCGTCACCAGAGAGGGATAAGTCACTGCCATCGAAGACAGGGGACTTGTTGAGGCCGCTAAGGGCAGTCAGAGCCCAGTCCCAGTACTACCAGAATATTAGTGAGAGTAGTTTGTAGTATGGTGAGTTTACTTACAGGCTGAGTTCCCTTATAGCCGCACTCATTTCGAAGAGCCTCCTCATACAACCAAGTGAAGTATCGGTGCCATGTGAGGAAGTTGCCAGTGTAGTGGATCGTCTGAGTCTGGTTCAGATGAACAGCAACCCAGTCATCGAAGCGAGTCTTAGCACCAGCGGCGAAAGACGCAGGAGACTTGGAAGGCTTGGACTGGAGACACTTGACAGCGTCAATGTAGGACTTCTTCTCTGTCTTGGAGAGGGTGCCCCTGTAACAGATATCAGAGAAGATGCTACTAGAAAAGGACGGGCAGCTTACCATTCTCGTCGAACACGGACATTGCTCCAGTTGCAGGTGCTGGCACGCTTGGTCTTATCCCCGGCGAGGTCCTGGGCAGTCTCATATGCAGCGGCAGCGAGATCAGCGAGCTCATCGAGGTTGGTGACCTCGGGTGCAGAGGAGTCAACTGTGGTGGCTTGGGGGGCGGCCAAAACACCAGCGGCGTTGAGGACCAGGAGGGAGATGAAACCAGCACGCATGATGGCAACCTTGACAAGAGAAAGAAGGGACGAAAAGAAAGGGCAGGGATCTTCTTTGCAGCACCGGTGTTTGGCTTGGAGGACCAGTGAGTGAAGACTGTCTTGGATGCAGAAATGTGATGAGCTATATACTACTGTATCATCCCCTTGGACATTTCCCCTTCTCCTGCATTTCTAGGTCAAGGATTACCACGCATAATCGTTCAGGGCCAGCCCATGGACCTTGACCTAGGGCCCCTCAATTGGGGTGAGTACGCTTACATCTCTAATGGGAATATACTCCCGAGGCGAAGGCAGGGTCGTTGACTAAGAACCCTAGAACCAACGGCAGAAGAGAACTTTTATGTGGACTCGTAAAAGCCCGTCTCTTGTTGCCGAGGGGGAGGGGTTCGGTTCGTTCGGCCAGATAAGTTATAGCTTAGATCTAATCCGATTTAGGGACCCATCAGCGGGTTTGCATTAGCAGTGGAATTGCAGGGGTTGAACCAACTACGCCACCGGACGATTCTTAATTCAGGGGAATAGAGTGCTTACGGCGGTAGGTCGGTCTTGTCTCGCGAAATGCATGATTCTGCAGCTGAAGCCATGAACCAACGTTCTTGTCGCATTCCAGAGCCCTGGGTTTTCAGGAGAGTATAAGATGCTGGAGTAATAGCGTAGGTGAGCGCTAGATTGACGCTTTGACGCTGGAAGAACTAGGGTTGATGATCCGGAACAGTTCCGTGCTAAGATGAGTGGAGTTTTGGGATCAATACCATCTCGGACACGAACATTGACATTCCCGTTAGTGACGGGACCAAAGATTCGTGCTTTGACTACTGTGCTTTTCTCCGGCGACTAGACTAGTAAAAGATTGCTGCTGATCGTTATGTCGATCTCCCTCGCGAATCACTCGATGTCACCCAGATGTTTCACTTTGAGGATAACGATAACCCGTCCGTTTTGATCGCGGAGTTGCATCCGAGTACATGATCGAATAGGCAAGATCATGCAGTAGAGATTCATATCACACATATAATATATCCGTCCTCAGGTCGAGATAATTATCCTCGCTCACCTCATCAGGTGGGCCGCCAAGACCTGCACCGCATTGGTCGCTACGGATATTACTCGACCTTCTCTATTAGCCTCGGCTATAACCTGAATGCAGAACAAGAGCGAGACCTGAGCGTTTCATAAGTCCTTTATCCAGAGGACCTGCAGATGTATCAATCCAATCCTGGTAAGGCCAATCACCTCCGGCCAGGGTCAGACTCCCCGTTAGGGAACTCGTATGATACACCTGAACGCCGGAGTCACAGTGGCAATGCAAGGGTCTTCTTTAGAGCAAAAATATGTGTAGAATCTTTGATTAGACTTGGTAGTCCAGCTGCGCCAAAGCAATGGCAGATGGCTTCTAGTGGACTCGCAGCCGAGGCACTATGCATGCTCTTTGACTTGATCTCCCGGTCGGTGGAAATTTTGTGTTCTAGCTCGTTAAACACCCTGTAGAAAACGTGGTGCACTCGACGTAAAGGATCGAGAGACAAGCCCCTGGCTGCCCCCTCTCTCATGCGTGTTTCTTTTCTTATTATCCTGCCCCTTCTCCATCGTCCCAAGTTCTTGGGCCTTTGTACATCCTTCCGTCGGCCACCATGGATCCTCAGGTTAAGCTCCCTTCTAATCCTGATGAGAATGGAGCGGTCGATATTCTTGCTTCTACGGTTCTGGTGATCACCTTGGCGACTATTGTTGTTTTGGCTCGCGTTTACGTGCGCTTGTTTATGATTCGCAACCTTGGCTGGGATGTAAGTTGCGCCAGCACCTAATCTCGTTTATTTCTCCCTTCCTTCACTCTTCCGGTCCCTGAAATCGTCTAATCGCCTACACTTAGGATGCCTTCATGATATTCACCATCGCACTATCCTGGGCAGGCCAAGGTGTAATCTTCGCACAGCTTGCTTATGGTGGTGGAAAGCACATTGGCGATGTTGACCCAGATGTCTACATGACAGGAATGAAGTTGAACTTTATAAGTCAGCCCATTTTCTTGATAGCAATTTGCGTAGTCAAATTGTCTATCGGGTGTGCCCTGCTTCGAATTGCGTCTACCAAGTTCTACAAATGGTTGATTCTGTCTATCATGATCTTTATGTCAATCTACACGATTGGATGTTTCTTTGTAAGTCGTGCATCTTCGACGACCTTTGGTTCAATAACTAATACTTTCCGCTGTAGACTGTCATCTTCCAATGTACAGACATTCGTGTCCTCTGGGATCCAACCGTTCCGTCGAAATGCTGGTCACAAAAGACATTGCAATCACTGTCGTACACGAACTCCGCGTTCAATATCTTGACTGATCTCCTCTTCGCTATTATCATCCCTACACCCATGCTTTGGAAGCTCAACGTGCACTTCCGAACACGAGTAACCCTTATTGGTATTCTCAGTCTCGGTGTCTTTGCCTGTGCCGCCGCCTTTACCAAGCTTGGATACGTCACCAATTACGGCAAGCTTGGTGACTGGCTATGGGACTCTCGCAACATCACGATCTGGACCAGCGTTGAGCTCAACGTCGGCATCATCGCAGGGAGTCTACCATGTCTGCGGCCGTTGTTCCGAAGATTCCTTGGCAGCACCTATGGCAAGAATTCCAAGAAGACGCCCACAACAGGCAATACAAACTATGGTCGCGGTACTCTACGAAGCGGTACAATGCGCAGTGGCAAAAACTGGCACGTATTGTCCAGTGGTAAAAGGGGTGATGATGAGACAAGCAGTCAAAAGGCCATCAATATTGGTCAACAGGAGTATGAGCTTCGAGACAGGATAGCCAGTCCCTCTGGGGTGATGAATAGGACGACAGTGCAGACAGAGATTGAGGGTAGGTCAAGTGATGAGAGTGCTGGCAATGCAGGATACAGGGGCCAGTTTCAAAGTGGTATCACAAAGACTATGATAACGACAGTCGAAGTTACCAAGACGGACTCTTCATCGAGTCGATGATTTTTATTCTCTTTTTCCAATATCCTTTCCTTATTAATTACGCATAACTAGCGACAAATATCAAATCATGATTTTTTTATGGCGAGTGGCTGTGAGAGCTTGCTTTATAGAGATTAGAAAATGACTGTTCCACCGGGCTTCAAACAGTAGGATATGTCGCTCTTAAAGTCTCTTCTTCTCTCCTTCTATGTGTTTTACCAGGGCTCTACTCTAACTGCTGCAGTAATCATTTGCTGAAGCCATTGAAAACTATTCCAAGCCAATTACATCTGCTTTGCTTTACCTTTGAGCAATCTTCCTATCTTCCACCTTATCGTTGACTTTCCCTCTTCCTCCTCTGGTATACCCGATCCCTCCTCTACTAGAGTTGGCATGGCGACTTTCAAGTCCCTCCTGGGCTCGAGACGCTCCAATGACTGGAAATAGTCATCCCACGGGCAATCTTCCCATGATAGTTCCCCATCCTCCAAAAGTCGGAGGAGATCATAAATTCCAGTCCCCAGAGCTGAAACTGTTTGGTCTTTTCTGTTCAGCGCTGCTGCTTTGAACCGTTGAAGTGAGCTTGAGCCTGACACTTGAGAAGAGCGCGAAGACCGAGACGCCAAGGATCTTGCGATAGTAGGGTTTCCATTCAATTCGTTCAGGTATATATGATGGGCAGATAGAGATGTTCTTAGATAAGAAGAAATACTAGAGGACCCGCAAGACGGGGGGTAAAGGGCCTCTCCGACATGTATGATGGTATCTCTCTGGTCAGTAAAGACTAGCTGCTGTATCAGCCAGTCCCAAAACTCGTTATCAGTCGATGCACGCCGAGCTTTTCCGGGAATCTCTTTCAGAGCTGTCACCTCCTTCGATGTAGTAGAAGTAGGAGTTGATGGGCGGCTGCGTCTAGTGGCCAAGACTGATTCGAGTGCTTCCATCTGATGTGTCTGAACTTCTCTGGCAAGGTCACTTTTGCGAGCAGATGGTGGACACCATGAGTAATGCTCAACAAATTGGGTGGCAAACTCCCTTTTAGCATGTCCTGGTGTGAATGAGTTATCATAAAGAAGCGCTGGTATAATCTCACAATACAGTGACACGTCTGAGGGCTGAAGTCCTAGTGGATCATTGTTGGTTTCAGAGACAAGAAGCGACCTTTGAACGATGATCCTACTCATAATCATCAAAAAGTGTGTCGCCGAAATCGTAGGAAGGCTTTGACCCCACGGAAGAGGAGATTCACGTTCCAGTTGGATGTGTTTCCAAAAGTGGGTAAATAGGAAACTGGATTTCCTCCAAAGATACATTGGCCTCTTTTGAAGAGCCAAATCACTCATCTTTGTCGGGTTCAACCCCTCAAACCTCTCTTTGTCATAGCCTGGGAAGGGCTTTGGACACTGAGTATCTCTCAGCGTGCGCCAACAATGTGTAAGGCAACGCTCGATATCCGATGCGAACAGTTTGTTGTCCCATTCGAGTGAGTTCAGCAGACCCTCTGGAATAGCATGATGCTTCTTTTCTTGAAAACTGAGCAATGTCCAAAGGTCTATCGATTCTGGGCCAAGTGTGTCGAAAGCCTTTGTGAAGTTCCTGGCTTTGTCAAGATGTTTCTGTTCAAAACTGGTATCTCCACTATGCGCATAAATCTGCGCGAGATGGCGATGGAATAGGAAGGACTGCATGGGACTCATCTCAACGCCATAGAAAGGGTAAGGGTTATGTTCTTCTCCAATTAGAGGGTCCTTGCTCCTCTTGAGCTCAGATTCCATCATGACCCTTACGATCTCACAAGATCTTCGTTTCTTGGCAGTTCTTGCCATATCGAGCATCCTGGCGCGTCGCTGTTTGGCCGAAGGCGTTTTGTATTGAAAAGGAATCGAGATCTTGAGGTAGTAACCGAAAGCTTTGGTGTAGCGATAGCAACAAGATAGGTATTCTGCCGACAGCTTGTCATCGTACGTGTACTGGCAGCGTGGACTCGATTGTGCAGTCAATGGGGTAGAAACGAAATCTGAATCAGTAGAGATATTGATTGGTGTGTCAGATGAGGATTCTGCAATGTAGTCGCCTGACTCGCTTCTGGGTTTTGGTCGCTTCACTGGGCGGCGAGGAAGAGGTGAGGATGGGCCGTGGGCTGTGATATCACTCCTGCGACTGATGGAGCTTGCGCCGCTTCTGGGGCGTTTGCTTGACTCATTTGTAAGTATGAGACCTTGGTCCATAGAGTGATCCACGGTGGTCGAGCACGATGCATCGTTACTAGTGATTTCGCTAGGCGTGCTTTGACTGGTCGTCTCATTCGGCGTAGATTGAATAGAGAGAACCCCTCGACGTTGCTTGTGAAACCCCCAGCGTCTCGTTGCTTTGGAGAATTGATCTCGGCTACGAACGACAACGTCAGCAGAGAAATTGTGCGGTGAATGGCATAATCACGAGATGGTGAAACTTAGATTTGTTTCTAGGTAGCCGATAACCTGGTCTCGAGTATAATTCTGGGTCAAGTATAGATCGCCAATTAGATCTTTGTGCTCGTCCACTGCATTGTCTGACAGCCCACCAGCTCGGGGAGGACGGCTGTGGATAAAGGATAGCTCTCGTGGAATCATAATTGTATGACTAGGGAAACAAGCTGTAAGTCTTGTAACGGGTACCCGCAGAAACTGGCTCTTGATGGGCAAAAGGTTAGAGTTACACTACACATCTGAATGTGAAGTACTACCCAAGGGTAAATTAAGCTTACAGTCTTCCATTCCAGATTCTATCCTCTTGCCTCAACAAAAAAAAACAATCAATTAACACGTCATTTCCCGCTAGTGGCATGTAGTCTAAGATTGGAGTGACCCTTGTCTTTGGCCATTAATTGGACACGAGGCCATGGCATTGTTGTTCTTTCAACCCCCCCGAATTGAACTAAGCCAAATATGGTAACTCCAAACTTATGTCTCGAGTTTCTGCTTGGTCGTTGATAATGTTGATGAATGTGGCTTGGAAACGTCTTCAGCGGTTCATCTCAGCTCAGTGACGGTTGACCAAAGTGGCAAACCGCACACCATGCCGTATCAGGTAATTCCAATGAAGCGTTGTCGCCTTTTTGACGGCCTTTTTTTCTTTTTCTGTAGACAAGCCCCAGGTATTCAAGGGAAACACCTCGTAATCTGATTACTCGGGTCGATCAGCAGGACGAGCTCCTACGCCTCTATCACATTTCGTCTCATTTTCCAGGAACTGAAAGCTTGGAATTTCCGGATCTGGATCCCACCCAATATCATATGAGCTGGTGCTTGAGTAAGACAGAGACTATGATGAGGCAGCCTAGTTTGGGGTCAACCTATCAACCATCAATAGATCTCTTTGCCGCCTGATGGCCAAAGTTTGTTCTTTCCAGAATTGGCAATACCAAAGATCATGACAGGTGTATGAGCAGCGTTGGGGCTGCATTGTGGTTTCGTAACGAGGCGTAGGTGAGAGAGATGCCTACAATCTAAAGAGTGGCTTCATGGCAGAGTAGTCTCAATTGTTCGCTATATAAGACGCCGATTATGAGGACAAGCTTGAATAGAACTCTCGAAATTATCTTCTACTACTTGAGCTATTAAGACTACGAGTTTCTTATCAAATACACATCTTCGATTAAGCCTTTTCTTTCAATATGGCTCTGGATCCCATCAAGCACAACCATAAAAAAGCCCAGGATATTCTGGTTGCCCATGCCGGTGCTTGGACGCAAGACGCCAGCTCCTCTCCTTCGAGACGTGTGGTATGTCTACGTATTCTGATACGCAAGTCCTTTACTGACTGTGAAGATTTCCAAGATCGAGGAAAGGATCGAGGCATCTAAGAAAACCTCTGGTAAGAAGGATTAATTCTTTCTACTTATGACCCGGAGTGCTTGAAGTCACGCCTTTTCTCGGAATGTCATTCGGAGCTTGAAAAGGCTTCGTGTCTGCTTTGTTGCAAGTTTACGAGAATTGGTTTAAATGATTTACCCAGCATCAGCCTTGCAATGAACATGAATCATGAGCTTAATCCAGCCGAGAGAACCTAGAACATAAATCATTGCTAAGATACTCCTACCTCTATCAAGACATAAATAATATGAATTCTGAGTGGTCATCTATTCTCCGTCATGAAGAATTATAACTTAGCTTAAAGTATGGTGTGCAATTCGAGAACAGTTACAAGTTGGTAAAAAGGCATGTTGGATGACAAGACAAGGACTTTAAGGTAGAACAACATGGGTTTACCTAAGCAAAGCTCTTACAAGTATATGACAGTAAGCCTAGGTATGTTCAACTATAATATAGTTGCAGAGTACAAGACCACGGCGGGTTACTCACTTCATCCAATGTTGGAGCTGACTGATGAGTATGTTTTCGCCTACCCTGCACTCCATAGAACAAACCAATCAGAGACTTAACAACAAGGGTATGATATTCTTGCAAGAAAGCAATATCCTATATACTATCCTTAGGAATAGCAATTTACATCTTATCAATATCAATTAGAATTCCTTCTCCTATCATCACCTCATCCTCTCCTTTTCAACCCCCCTTTTAAACCCATGATCCGATTCTAGAACAAGGGTGTCCCTTTATCTCGCAGCCTTATCTGCCGAGAAATACGGGACAATGGAACCTAAAAATACGCCTCATGCCAGTTTTCCTAAGCTATTGTTTACCGTTTCTGGTCTAGCCCATCATTTGAACAATTTCCCCCGCAACGCGGAGGCGGAGGCTCATTACCCGCTGATTGGGCGCCCGTCGCGAGTAAGTTATCGACCAACGCGCGCGATAAGACCAACGTCCAGCTTTTTATATCAGGTCTGGTCTGGGGTAAAAGCTTAAACCTCGTCTCTGTTTCCTTTCGTCTGCTCTACCGCAATTGACAGTAGCAATTATGGCGAGCGATGCACCGGCCCAGGAGGGTCACCTCCAGAAGAGGTTCTCAAAGATCACCATGATCGGCATGGCTTTTGCCATTCTCAAGTAAGGAGAACGGTACCGTCGTGTCGCACGAAAGTTGCAAACTAATTGAATACAGTACATGGATTTCTCTTGCTGGATCAATAGGTCTAGTAATGCCATCCGGTGGCTCTGTTAGTTTCGTCTATGGTTTTATTTTCTGCGTTCTTTGCAATATTTGCTTGGCTGCAAGTGTCGGAGAATTGGCTTCTCTATATCCTACAGCTGGAGGACAGTATCACTATTCCTTTGCTCTTTCATCCAAGAAATGGAAGAGTATCAATGTAAGATTTATGAAGACTAGCTTTTATGCATACCGCTAATTCTAACAGAGCTTCCTCGTCGGATGGACAAATATTGCTGGCTGGTTGACTCTCAACACAACTGCAGCCTACTTCGGAGGTATATGACTAAGGTCACCGACAAAACAATTGCTTACATACTATAGCTCGATTCCTCGCTGCGGCTGCTGTCGTTGGCTCTGGAGGTAGCTACGAAATTACCCAGTGGAGTACGTATTTGATGTTCGTCGCTGTGTCCATCGTTGGTGTGTTCCTCAACATCTTTGGCTATCCCATCCTGAACCGATGGAACGAAGGCGCTTGTAAGTCGAGCTACAGATGTGCCTCCAGTTAAATTGACCTTTCTTAGTGTACTGGTCTTTGCTCAGCGTTGTCGTCATCAGTATCGTCCTTCTAGCTACCTCTCCAAAGACTGACGCAGAGTTCGTCTTCACCAACTTCTCCAATACCACTGGATGGAGCGATGGCACGGCTTGGATGCTTGGACTTTTACAGTCAGCTCTGAGCTTTATTGGGTAAGTAGTGCACCAAATCTTACCAGGCATAGCTAACATGCTGAAGTTGGGATGCTGTGGCACATATGACTGAAGAAATGCCTCGACCATCCAAGGATGCCCCCCAAGCCATGGTTGCGGCAGTCTTGGTAGGAGGCGTGACGTAAGTTTTGACCAACTCTCTAAAAGTCTCCGCCTAACTGTCCTCAGCGGAATATTCTTCATCATCGTCATGCTATTCTGCTTTGTCGACCTTGATCTGCTGCTCGCATCGCCTACACAAAGCCCTCTTACAGAGATGATACTGCAAGCGACCAACAGCCGGGCTGCTGCAACCGTACTCACTGTTGCCGTTGCACTGTGTTTCGTCAATGATGCCAATGGCTGTGTTACCTCCGGCAGTCGTCTTATCTGGGCCATGGCACGAGATGGTGGCACTCCTTTTTCTAGATAGTAAGCATCCTATCTGCATTCCTGTATAAACATGGCTAACTATTGAAGTCTCTCGCATCTTCACCCCAAACTCAACGTTCCTGTCCGAGCTATTGTCGTGCAGGCTATATTCAACCTTCTCTTCGGACTTCTTTATCTGGGTGTGTTTCTTTTCTGAACCATTTTCTTCTTTCCACTAATGTACCTAAAGGCCCCGAGGTTGCTTTCAATGCTTATATTGCAAGCTGCACACTATTCCTCAATCTCTCATACGCAGCCCCTGTGCTTATCCTTCTGATTCGAGGTCGACATATGGTGCTTTCGCAGCCCCCTGAGTTTTCTCTTGGCCGTGTCAAAGGCTACATCGCGAACTACACAGCCGTCATCTTTGTGGCTGTGACCTCTATTGTAAGTATCTCACTTTGACGGATTTGAGACCTGAGCTGATATATCTTTAACAGTTCTTTTGCTTCCCCCCTGCAATTCCCGTCAACGTATCAACCATGAGTAAGTCACTCCAGGCGAGCAAGTTAGCCACAAGCTAACAGCTTTAGACTATGTGATTGCAGTATTGGGCATCTTCGTTGTGTTTGTAGCGGCTCTTTGGCTGGGAAAGAGAAAGTCTTACGAGGGACCTAAGCTTGAGTGCATTCTGGGGGAAGAATTGCCCGTGGCAGATACAGTGTCACAGAGGGGCCCTAAAGAAATTTCTTCTAGCTCAACCTCGAAGCACGATGAATAAGCGTACTTCGCGGGATTACTGTATAGCAATGCTAGGATAGTGGGTAGCGATTTGATGTATTGGTATTGGTTTAGTTAAAGACCGTGGGATTTTGTCATTCTATTAAAAGCTGTATCTTTCTCGAGGTTATTGCGACATGGACAGACTGTAATAATTTACCAAATTTATTTATGAGACATCAAATGACTCCCCATCGGCCTAATGTTTAGTGATAGGAATGCAACAAGCGACGCCTCGGTCTTTAATGTAGTAATTATCAGCAACCTTGTCCGCAGGCGATTGCATCTACGGAGAAGTTGAATTTCTAAGTACTAAATCTCTTATCTGTGTATGGCTGCTTGATTACATACGAGAGGGGTTGAGATAGAACTGCACAATCTGACATTAAGTTACTAAGTAAGTATCAAGTATTACATCCTATAGCCTCGCGACCGTGTTCTTGAGGTAACCATAATGCCAATCATCCCTGGCCAAGTCCTGTCGGATCTGGTAATTACGTTCCGCAATGTCCACCGTCTTCATATCGACATCCAAGATACGCATAGCCTCCTCGCCATCGGTAAAGCTCCCAGGCACCGTTCCAACAATAGGTAGTGCAACTTGACTACAGCCAAAGAAGCCTTCTCCCGCCGGTCCACCGGCATTGCAATAAATAACAGCGGCAGTGTTCTCGAA